ATTTTATTGCACATGAGTAGCAATAGGATTGGGAACAGCTTATATAAAGCCCTTTCCAAACATATTAATTAATATACATTCTATTTACAATGGGGCAGTATGATATAATCACAAGTTAAGAGAGAGAGAGGGTGTGGGGGTTGGGGGTATATAACATGTAATTTGGATGTTTGAAATAATTTGTATATATGTAGATCATTGCATCTGCTCCTTTTCCATGCAAGCATAACAGGTGATACGCGGTCCACATGCCTTAACTCACAACTTGTCAATGTCCATCACTTCCCTTGAATGTATATAGTTCCTCCTTGTCACTCGGTGCTTTCTGGAATATCCTTCTCCACTTGTTCACTTACACAGAAAAGGAGTAGGTACATGATACACACATGCTTATCCATTATAATAATCATATTAGTTTTAGTCGTTAATATTATTTGTGTAGAATATATGACTTCAGAAGAGTGAGGAAGAGCGGGATACAGAAATTCAAAGATCTGCTTGGTAGAATCTGTTTCGTGGATTTATGGCTGAGTATGCAAATATATAGTCTGGTTTTCTAGTTCAGACAGAGAAGTGTCAAGGAGTACATCTAAGTTTAAGGGTATGTATTAATTAAGTTGACGAAACAGTTTATTCGTTGGTCCATATGATTATCCTAGATAAAAAAGAAATGATAGGTATCTTCAACAGGAGAGTCACATGTTCAACGTTCGTAAGTAGATAGATTTACTCGAGAAAAAAAACACTAGCATTATTTCTTAACTTGGTATGCAAAATGTTATATTTCCATCACCGAATAGAAAACATTTGGAACTTGTGTCCGAACTTTGTCTAGAATGTAGTTTTTTAATAAAAGATTTTCGCTATGCCTAGCACTGATAGGTTGTTGATTCCATAGCCTAACAGTATAAGAAAAACAGAAGCATTAGACAATTGGAGTGTATTGTTACGTAGGATATAATTTTCAGCGTTTCTGAGGCCATTATGAGGGTTATCAACAAGTTGAGGGAGTAGAGTATTAAGATATTCAGGAGCTGTATTTTGATCAATTTTATAAAATAATTGAAGCTTTCTACGGGATCTCCTATTGGCAAAAGTTTCCCAGCCGATTTTATTATATAAAGATTGTCTACTAGTGTAGGACGGTAAACCAGTGACAATGCGAGCAGTCTAAAGTTGTAACTTTTCTGATTTATTGGCATCGGTTAGAGAACAACCATCCCATACTTCACAGCAATATTCTTGATTTGTGCACGATGTGCATACCATAGTAAAATTGTACGAAATAAGCTTTCGCACATCTGTGCGCATGTTTCGTGATTCTATGGCACAGATGTGCGATTCTATCGTGGTTGATATAAATTTAGAAATGACTAATATAGGAGTGTGTGAAAGGGTTAATTTATTTCATAAATATACAAAAGTACAACTACGTATATTTCCTAATTAGTCAGTTAATATATAGGTTGAACATTTGTAGATCAATCACAAACTTAATGGTTGTATACACTCGTAATTTAAAGTGTTTTTTTTTTTTTGGAAAGCCCCACGCGTGACCAGTCTTAGTGTACGGACACTCATTATACATGTACATGTATATAAGATATATATGTAAACGTTGAATGGACGTCTCTTTTTGTCTCGGCAATGGATCATCTAAAATCTCATACTGTCAGAAAAAAATATTTTCATTACTTCTGTATTACTATCATATTTCTATGATTTTGTAAGCATAAAATATACACTCAGGAGAATCGTGTTATGTTGCTTTCACGTGCGACCCAGATGCTACGGATCCAGCCCTGTCAGGCATATATCTGTATTCAGATGAATTTTGTTGCCCAAGGCGCACAACTCGACACTCTCTGAGAGGAAAAACTATACACGAAAAATTAATGCTGTTTCCAGTTATATTCCACAACTGTCGAATTGAAAATAACTTTTATAATCATCGATCAATTTTAAAAACTCACGTGATCGCTATTTAGTCATAAATGCACGAATTTTCCGTTTAATTTTTAATCCGTAATGTTATCCAACCATTTATACCAAACCACACAAAATGTGAGATCTTATCGCACGATTACGCGGAAAATGCTGAAAACTGCGTGTGTTAGCATGATGTGCTTTTTAGTTTTTAGTGCATCATACATTACCAGAACAGTATAAAATTACTATCACACTGATGGTGTTGTTACCCTTCAAAGTCTGACAGTATCACATCAGGACTATCACACTGATGGTGTTGTTACCATACAAAGTCTGACAGGATCACAGACTATCACACTGATGGTGTTGTTACCCTACAAAGTCTGACAGTATCACATCAGGACTATCACACTGATGGTGTTGTTACCATACAAAGTATGACAGGATCACAGACTATCACACTGATGGTGTTGTTACCCTACAAAGTCTGACAGTATCACATCAGGACTATCACACTGATGGTGTTGTTACCCTACAAAGTCTGACAGGATCACATCAGGACTATCACACTGATGGTGTTGTTACCATACAAAGTATGACAGGATCACAGACTATCACACTGATGGTGTTGTTACCCTACAAAGTCTGACAGTATCACATCAGGACTATCACACTGATGGTGTTGTTACCCCACAAAGTCTGACAGGATCACATCAGGACTGTCACGCTGATGGTGTTGTTACCCTACAAAGTCTGACAGGACAACATCAGGACTGTCACGCTGATGGTGTTGTTACCCTACAAAATCTGACAGGATCACAGACTATCACACTGATGGTGTTGTTACCCTACAAAGTCTGACAGGATCACAGACTATCACACTAATGGTGTTGTTACCATACAAAGTCTGACAGGATCACAGACTATCACACTGATGGTGTTGTTACCCTACAAAGTCTGACAGTATCACATCAGGACTATCACACTGATGGTGTTGTTACCCTACAAAGTCTGACAGTATCACATCAGCACTATCACACTGATGGTGTTGTTACCCCACAAAGTCTGACAGGATCACATCAGGTATGGTGTTGTTACCCTACAAATGACAGGACACCATCAGGACTATCACACTGATACAAAATCTGACAGGATCACAGACTATCACACTGATGGTGTTGCTACCCTACAAAGTCTGACAGGATCACAGACTATCACACTGATGGTGTTGTTACCCTACAAAGTCTGACAGGATTACATCAGGACTATCACACTGATGGTGTTGTTACCCTACAAAATCTGACAGGATCACAGACTATCACACTGATGGTGTTGTTACCCTACAAAGTCTGACAGGATCACATCAGGACTATCACACTGATGGTGTTGTTACCCTACAAAGTCTGACAGTATCACATCAGCACTATCACACTGATGGTGTTGTTACCCCACAAAGTCTGACAGGATCACATCAGGACTGTCACGCTGATGGTGTTGTTACCCTACAAAGTCTGACAGGACACCATCAGGACTATCACACTGATGGTGTTGCTACCCTACAAAATCTGACAGGATCACAGACTATCACACTGATGGTGTTGTTACCCTACAAAGTCTGACAGGATTACATCAGGACTATCACACTGATGGTGTTGTTACCCTACAAAGTCTGACAGGATCACATCAGGACTATCACACTGATGGTGTTGTTACCCTACAAAGTATGACAGGATCACATCAGGACTATCACACTGATGGTGTTGTTACCCTACAAAGTCTGACAGGATCACATCAGGACTATCACACTGATGGTGCTGTTACCCCACAAAGTCTGATAGGATGACATTAGGACTGTCACGCTGATGGTGTTGTTACCCTACAAAGTCTGACAGGATCACAGACTATCACACTGATGGTGTTGTTACCCCACAAAGTCTGAGAGTATCACATCAGGACTATCACACTACCACATGCTCGATGTATATTGTGAAAGGTGTTAACGTTGTAATATCTATCTCCTATACCACATTATACTTCTGATAAATTGTGTCCGTGCTGTTGGGATATTTTCATATGCTTCGCCCAATCTGCCGCTTAACATTTCTATATTTGCATAATAAGCTTGCATTTTTTGCATTAAGTAGAGCATAAAGATCTGCTATAAAATAGAGTGCATCTATAATGGTCACATTCTGTAACTTTCAAACTATTTTATTATTATTATATATTTTTCAGAATAAAGTGGATATATTTACATATCGTAGGTTTTATTTGCGACTGACCTGAAGTGTTCCAAGGAAATACATCATTTTGGTTGTTAGATATAGATGAATTCTACAAACTTATCATTTTCTGGGTTTTCTTTCTTATTAGTTATTTGCTGTCTCAGCATCATCTACCGCAACTGATTCGGGCTTGCTCTAACTAGGAAAAAGAATGCTTGCAGTTGCCAGTTGGTCTTCTGGTGGTATCATGCTAATGCTGGACATCCACAAATAGGGGCGTATACAATCTGTCTGTTCGAAAATCTATTTGTATTATTGTATTTATTGAACTTCAAAACATTTGAAACTGGAGAGTATCCTCCATCTCTGATGTGACGGATTAGAAGTCTACTCTCAGTAATGGAGCCAGCAGGCTGGATATTTTAACAAAACATGAGAGTTGGTCTAAGACCTTCCTTATATAGTCCAGAGCCATCATTAAGGATAATAATTTTGTCTGGATCCACCAATCTGCCCGATTGTATGATTTAGTCAGGAGGTTGATGTGGAAGGTAGTTGTCCTGCTATACGCATAGAGTTCCGATCCGATATAGGTCGGGTACTCTGTCTATGTGTATATACTTTAAATACAGCCATGCCTGTGCTATCAATGTTAAGATTGTTGGCTACACACGGACGGGTATACAATGGTATTCAGAAAGAGTCGCCATTAACGTTGACTAAAACGTACATCGGTAATAATTAGATAAAATCACTGACCTCGTATGACAGGTACACTTTAGTGTATAAAGTCTTAACTGTTTAAAATATTCGCATATGTAAACATATGTGGAGGAACACGACATCATGGATTTACAAGGATTTTGTACAGACAGGTAAGTTAAATTAATACTTATTAATTCACACTAATTGTTTGTTCTATTAATGTTTTGTTAGGTTTTTTTCCAATATGCCCCCTTCCATTCTGAATATTTCAGGTTCCAACTTGTAGAAACATAACAGATAGTCGATTTACTTACCAATTATGTAAGATTGTATTTATGCTCAAAATGGTTGAAAAGTTGCCGTTGACAGTTAACTTATCCAGAGATGTGAAGACTAGTTAACACCTCTCCTGAAATACAAACATCAAACATATAATCATAGGTATCAATGTTCAGTACGTTTTAAGTTTGTAATGATATCATATAACACCAAATGTGCCTATATGCCAAGTCCCTGTTATACGCATGCTTCATATTTGATATTTAATCAACAGTATCATGTCGTCATTAACATATAGACTAGAAACTTGGACTCAATGAAGAGGAATTGGTCTATCCTCAACCATGATACATATATTGCGGTGGATACATAATATGTGAATTTTATAAATAATAATAAATATAATAAGCAATAAACAAAAACATGCCTCTTAATCATTTAAGTGACATCAATTAACCGGCCTTTTAAATAATCTAAAGATAGTCTCTGCACATCATTTTTGAGACAACTATAACTCAACAATGATTTACGTTTGTGTTATCCACGGGAAACTGAATTCCGAAATTCATGACAGGATTTCGCAGATAGCAATGTCTTCTAAAATACTATCTTTTATTAAAATGCAATATGATTACAAGCGCTTGTGAATCTCTGTCAAGAAAAAAGTTGAAAATCATATATATATAGTTTAGAATGTCTAAGATAGGCGATTTGATGCCCTAGAGTTCGAGGACCGGACTAAATTTGTAAATCTATGATAAGTAAAGAAGACATGAAAATTAGCTTTTTTACACATGTATAGATGAATTTCCTCCTAGCCAGCGCGTCACCCTGAACTGATTTGCCAGTTCACTAGCTGCACGCTCACTTTGCGGCATTACAGATGTGTCGCCTATTGGAGAGAGTTAACCGAGGGGAATCTTCTTCATATTGGCTTAGAGAGGCCCGTGACCTTCATAGTTATCCTGGTTCATTAACGCTGTCATTTTGTAAGATATTTTGTAATTTAACAATGTATGTACTGCGATACCAGTTTTTTTATCAAATGCTTATGTTTATTATTTACTTGCAGACATGTTATGGCTATCGTGCTGTCGGTGACCTTCATTCCTTCCGCTATCCTCCTAGTCATCAGTATGGAGTCGGACATTCTAGCAAACATCCCGCGGATGGTATCAGCCATTGGAATGCCACACAAAATCATTAATGATGTAACGGTACTTCAGCACACCAAATCAATGTCACGTCAAGTACATATCCAATTTTATAACCCTCCTGAGTGGTTTAACAAAAACATTGCTTTGAGAGGATGTCCGAGTAACTGTTCGATGTCTACTGGCAGTCGTCATTACCATGATAAAGATGTTGTCATCTTTTTCGGTCCTCGTCTTGGCCCAAAACCAGTGCCTAAGAAACGAGGTCAAATCTGGGTCCTTCATGGCAAGGAGGCACCTCCTAACCATAACCACATAACAAAATGGCGTGGGCTTTTTAACTGGACGATGACATATCGGCGGGATTCAGATTTCCCTCATATGTATGGAGAATTTCGAAGTGTTGATAATCCTTCTGCACGGCTACCAAACACAACCATGAAATTTGTCACTGTACATAATTCGACAAAATTCCCTAAACTTAAGAAAGTACCTTCCACAGCTTGGTTTGTGTCCCATTGTAGGACACAGAGTAAACGACAGGAGTACGTTAGGTCTCTTCGAGGCACGCATAGTGTGGATGTATTTGGAGCATGTGGTATCAATAGGTGCGACAAGAATAGAGATCGCCAATGTCTGTCACCATACAAGTTTTACTTATCATTCGAAAACTCCTTATGCAGGGATTACATTACAGAAAAGGCTTTTAAGATCTACTTTCACGAACATGACTCAGTGCCGATTACTCGTGGTTTTAAAGGGATGTACCAATTATATCTTCCACCTGGATCATTTATCGATACCAGTGATCACAGGGGTATCGACCATTTAGGACGCTTTCTTAACACTCTAAGTAAAAATCAAACATCACACTCACAATTTTTCAAATGGAGACTACATTACCAACCTAGAGTTGATCATTATTTTCCGTTTTGTGAACTTTGTAATCGAATGCAGAAGCCGGATGTTTATACGCGTTACCATAGACTATACCAGGATATCAACCAGTGGGTCTTTGGGTCACCTGATGACAAAATTTGTACCGAACCGACAGATCTACATAAATAAGTTGACTCTTTAAAATGATAGATCAAACTAAACTGGGCAGTCATCCCATCAGACAGTGTTTCTGCACTACAATTTATAGACACTGGAGATAGCTCAATGATCTGTCGATTTAAATTTGATTTTATGTTTATTACAAATATTAAATGAACAGGATATCGCTGTAGAACTATTGTATATCTCTTTCCACATTGGTGTTCCCGGCAATGAAAGAGCTGACAAACTAGAAAGCAAACAGGTAATCTCTTGATTATGACATTATTGACATTGATGTCGAACCGGAAGTCTAAGCATTGATTAAACAAACGATATAACAGTATATGGAATGTTTCGAGGAAAGACTTGTGTTGACTGGCAGCTGGATTTTAGATATTCGTACTGAACTTAACACATTGGTTTTAACTTATCTTTGGGATTGTGTTGATAAAGATACACATTTAATTATTTTGCCAAGACTTTTTGATATTGACAGGAATTATTGGCAAATATTCAAACAACTCAGAAAGGCTTCTGTTACCGAAATCTGATAGACAATTTTTCTTTACAATTATGTTTTTTTTTAAATAATAACTTATACTCGAAGCTTGCTTTAGACTTAGTTCAGATAATTTGAATATAAAATAGGAAAGATATAGAAACATTCAGAGGGACCTACGAATTTTGCAACTCAGATGACAATGGAGACGAATTTCTTTTTATTTTAAAGTGTAACTTTCATCGTGATCTAAAATGTCAGTGTATTAAACCATGATATTATAAAAGACCAAGTGTTTTCAAGTTGATTAAGCTTTTTACTACTTAAAACAGTAATGAAATGAATGACTTAGGTAAAATTCTGACTTTTTGTATAAAACGTCGTAATGGAATGTGATTAATTTTAGCTTGACGATAATCGCTATCTAAATGTAGAAAGTATTACTAATTAATCTCAATAACAAAACGAGTTTATATTGAACTTCTGAAAATATGGCATTTAGTTGCTGGGATTTTTGTACTTATTTCTGTAACCTTTAATTTTTAAAAAAAGGACAAGTACATGTTTCCCTTATTCAAAACACTTACTTTGTAAAATGAGTTAAAAATATGCCCAAGGCGAAATGGTGGAAATATTATTTCGTTCGATTTTGTCTGAACAATAAAATAATGACAGGGTTCATCACGATAAAGAGATAAATTTCTTTATTTCTTGAACAAACTTTACCTGATGACTTTACTAAAAATCCGTCATAGATTGGATATATCCATGCAATACATTTAAAGTAAAACTATGACACTGACACACAAATAGTATTGGGAGGATTAAACTACAGTCAAAGATACAAAAAACAATAACGCTAGAGATACAGTCAACACTGACACACAAATAGTATTAGGAGGATTAAACTACAGTCAAAGATACAAAAAACAATAACGCTAACGATACAAACAACACTGACACACAAATAGTGTTATATTTTAAAACAGTCAAAGATTTTACAAAAAACATAATGCTGGCAATCAACATTGACACACTTATTTATTAAAAAGATTCGACTTACAAAAAACAATAACCTAGAGATTTGATCCACGACACACTGATATTTTGGATTTGGTTGATTCTTTCAAAACTTCATTTAGAATATCGATCATTTTTTTCCAAATACTCGTACATCAGTATCGGTAATAATTTCTGACTTCAAAATTGCCTGTGAGGATTAAACTACAGCCCATGTCAAAAACATAATGTCTCTATGTGACACACAAATATCTGGGATGACAAGTCCCCCTTTTAAATTACAAAAATCATTAACTCTCTCTAAACTTTCTCACTTCCATTCCATATCAAAATATATATCAGACGATCAAATTCCTTCACTTGTTCTGAACTGATCGCCTGTGTACAGACTAAATATGTTATTTAGGATATTATCAATGTATTAATTACAGTAATTTTCTCAAATTTAAGACAGTTTTCCCTATTCTTTAACATATAATCTTAATCCACCGCAGAAATGAATTTTCAAATCCAAATTTCTCCAAACAGGTAATCATGAAGCTCCACTCTGTTGCGTCAATGGCCATAGAAAAATAAGATACGCGCGTCTTTAGTTTAAACATATTTTAATGCATAGAAAAAAGACAAAAGGACAGGGCACAAATTAGTACAACATTATTAACGTCCTCTCATACATATTTCAACTAAACATGAATATTGGCTTTACTGGGTAAGATGTTTAGTGAACTGAATACAACTAAAAACAAGCAGACAAAGGCGAGAGACGGAGGCGGAGAGAGAGAGGGGACGGGGAGAAAGAGAGAAATGTACAAGTGATATGATTTTTTATGGATCAAACCTTCCGCTGGTCTTTGTAAATCTTTGCACACTTCGAAACACATCAATATTGCTTTGTTTTTGTCAATTTGGGGATACCTGATAATTGACAATCTAGGTTGAGTTCATAGCCTTTATTCAAACCTTGAAATAACTCTACCCTATGGTGTCGATAATTAGGACATTCGCAGAAGAAATGATAGGCATTTCCACAAGGAGATCCGCAGATACAGGCAGGAATGTCAACCATTTTTAACTATAAAAAGAACATGATTAAGTGAACTACAATCATATTTTAACTTAGTATGAATAATTTTTAGTTTTGTTAAAATAAAATCGTTAGCATCTCTTAAGGGATATCTGGTATTTTGGTTAATTGTGTTAGGAAGAATTCTATTAAGAAAATCTGGAGTAAGGCCGTTTTTCATTTTATACAGTAATTGAAGTTTCCTTCTTTTTCTTCTCAAAGATAGTCTTTCTAATTCTGTCTCGACATAAAGAGAGTCGTTAGGAGCATAGGATGGGAGACCGGTGATGATGTGAGCTGCCTCACGTTGGCATTTTTCTAAACTTTCATTTTCAGTAACTGTATACTGCAGTAATTTTAAATCGACAAAGTTAAAGACGTATTTATTTTAAACAGGATTTCCCTTTTCAACATATCCTTTAGACTCCTAAGATCATTTATTTTCTTCGTGACAGAAGTATGCCTAGATCTCCCTATTTACCTTCTACGTTGAGAACCACTCCCCAATGTCTATGACTGTAACTAAAATTTAAAAGTTCTACACACGTCTATATTAATTGCTCGGTATAATCAATACTCTTTACTTTGGCTTATATTATATCCTATAAATCTATTCTTGGTGTATTCATTCTGATCGGTGCTAATTAGTTTCCCATAACCGGTTTAAACTTTGACGCTGAGACATATGCAGCTATTTTGCGTTCTATATTTAAAAGAGCTATGGGACTCTGATTTTCTAAATTTTGCTCACTTCCTTCTTTTTGTATCAAAGAGATCAAACCTATTTTTGTGAATTACTCATTTCTCCTTCATCATAACCTTAATTTAAAGCGTCAAGTAATTTATTCCCGATTAAACCCGAAAAATTTCTCTAAAATCCCAAACTGAATCCACCGTATCCTGCACTTGTGTTTAGTTTCATCTTATTTATGGCCGTTTTGCATTACTCTATTATTAAAACCCCTTTCTGTAAATACCCTTCTAAATTAGTTTTGTCGAGCTTTGAAGTTTCATCAAATTAGCGCATACGCAGAGACATTGTTTACAACCTCCGGGAGACAATGATACGGGCTAGGTCATTCCTTTTATTGCTTGTTTCCTTTGTTTCGAACATCTTTTTTATAATGAACAAAAATGTTTTTACTTTTACATTTTACTTGTTACTTACAAATTTTTATCGGTTGTGATATGGAATTTTGTCTGTTCAAAAACAACCATGAGAGTACAATAATTCTACTCCACTACGACGCTTGTGCTCAAGAGTTACCTCCCTTCAGTCAGACGAAGAATGATCATACGTCTGGAAACCATAAGGGGGATAACTCTAAACGAATTTTTATATCATTTGGGGAAAACACAGGTATTGTATATAAATTCCTCGATTTATTATAATTTTGAAAATATGTTTTATGAAACAAACTCACGGTGAATGATTTTGTTGGTCAGTACAACTTCTGAAAACGGAAAAAGTATACCACAAAATCTCTTCGTTTGAGTCAACCTCCTGTCCTCGAACTATGCGACGACAAAATACCTTTATAAAGTCACATGTTCAATTTGAAATTTGATCATGTAAGTGAATAATAAAAATGAAATATATAAAGTCAATAAAAAAGAAAACAGCATTCAATTAACAGACATGATAGAAAGATATATACATACATAGATATAGTCACCTATTTGTTGTGTCAGTTTCCAAACATTTTGTCCGAGTCCATTTGACTGTAAAATTACCATTACAAGTTTCCATTTCACTAACGTAAAATTTCTACTTATTTAATTCTGTACAGAGTGGCAATGAGAACATACTTGCCGGAAGAAGATTTTGTAAAGACTCTCTTTAGAGGACAGAACACGTTGCTTTGTTATGATAATGAGACGATGGACACGGAATTTGTTTCCGACTGTGCATTCTATCTAAGAACATGTGCAAACCTATATTTCAGTGCCGTCAGTGCGATTAACTGAGCCAATTTCCGAGATATGAAATATGCTGAACTTCTGGTTAATTTCACTTTGTAAATTATCTTTATTTTTTTGTGCTCTCGTTTATATGAGGAATAAAGACATGATGATGATGATGATGATGATGATGATGACCAAAAAAACATTTGCACTAAACATCGTAACAATGAGGATTAGTTTCTGTCTTGTATTGATCATGATATCAAAAGACAATGATGAGCCTGAATTAGAACAGATTTTCTTTCTTCTGTCTAAATGTGGCAAAATGGTTGACATCGAATTCTTAGGTCATCAGTTTACACATTTATTGTTTATTTCAGCACACCTCGATAATACCAAACTCTGATCTTTTGTGATTGAAGGCGTTCCAGAACAATTTCAACTGGAAATATACCTTTTTGTGACAATTTCCAAACTTCTGTAGAGGCAGGTTTCAACTTAAATACAATATCATTATACTTGGTGATATTAGTGTTAAAA